TTTCTTTTAAATACCGTTCAATGGCATGATTTTAAGGGAGTCCAGCTCGTTATCATCTCCGTTTCTTTTTCTGACCTTGGCGTAGGACTCAATACTCAGGAAGTGCCAGAAGATCTTTCTTGAAGCCATTTTTTCTCATTCGAGGAACTTTTTTCAAAGTTTCCGCACAAACTTTTCGTCATCATTTTACCTGATATCATTGGTTCAGAAAATTTACCATTGTCTTTCAGTCAATCATAATCCATAATTACGATGTGTAATTTGCACTGGCATAACACTTTTTGCACTGGTGTTACACTTGAACTGCACTGCTCTCAGCTCGAGTATGTTTTTTTTCATGTATATTATTAGTACTGTTATTTGGACGGTATTCGCTGCAGTTGGATAATAAGCTCGGATATTTGTAATTGGACGATATCTGCCCCTCAAGGCTCACAGTTTCCCTCGAGTAATGCCATCCGAGAACTGTTCGCTTCTCGGAACAGACAATGTTGTTTGTATATTCCCCAATTTTCAAAACTGCTCGTGTCGCGAAAAATATTTGAAGGATAATAAACACAATAGCCTCAATTTGACTTTGAAAATATGCTCGGATAGTTGTCCTTGGCCATTTGCTGTTCCTCAAAGCTCTCGGAAAACTGTTCACCTCTCGGAACAGATAATGTCCGCGGACAAAGATCCGTGCATATTTTCGGGCCAAATGGAGACTATTGTTTATATATGGACTTACCTAGCTACTTTACTAAAGTACTTACAATGACTCTTCTAAAACTCGCTGATTAGTTAACGAATACATTCTCGCTAAATGCGTGTGCAAAGTTACGCATGTGTTTGCCTTTTTGTTTGGTCACTTTTGTGAAATGCTAACTGAAATTGTCAGCCAGACATGATAATGATGGGGAAAGACTTCTACTTAACAACAAACTGTTTTCGTTTGTACATGTATCTTGGAAGGGTGATTCTTCGAAACTATTTCTGAGCGGACTATCTTTACGATACCTATGACAAACTTGCGAACGCTCAGGGAACCAATCATAGTCTCTTGTTGCAAATCAATCTGCTACATAATATAAAACATAACATGTATTCCTCGAGATACTTACTTTTAGTTAGTTTTGGTTATATTTGCTATCTGTAAATAAAAGCAGCTATCAAATGGAAGATGTACCTTTGCTAACCCTTGCCTTAAACTGATCATCGTAATCAAATCTCTCTTTTTCTGAATCAGTGGAGGATGTTTCAGCATCTCCAAAATACTCCCTTTCGGAGGTATCATCTTCCAGCAGTTGTTTTGCATCTTTTTCCGAAGGCCATGTAACTTACAAACAGAAATTATAAGGATAATTACAGGGTTATCTTGACTTGATATTATCATGATGACCATTTATAAGAACTCATAAGAACTCACAAGACTTAAACATCACTAGAATAAAGCGAGAAGCACTGACTGGTTACTCGTTTATAAAGTTTAGTCATGATAAATAACATGAGTAAAATCAATACAATAGTTGAAAGTGCCTATCATATATAAGTTGATCTATTAATAAATTTGCATCAGACCAACTGATTGCTAGACTGATTACTACCATTTGTACAACATATATGGATATGTAGACTTATTCAGGACCAATAAGTAATGATCTATAATCACTGTTCAATGAGCTATGTTAAATGTATGTTACAATTCTGTCACATACCAGACCGTTTTTCGCTTTCCTCAACGGCTCTAGCAAGCTCGTCCCAATTGATTCCTTCTGATCGCATGTGGCTTGCCATTTCCCCTTCACTGAAGCTATACATGTACCAAGAAATGAGTAAAATAATTCAACTTTATCATCATAGCTTAACAGATGAATAAATATAATTTATTATAATACAATACGACTTCGTTCGGCACTTCGTAATTCTGTCACAGATCATTAGTCATTATCATTAGTCAGAACGGTTAAGCATCACGTTCGTTTTCCTGGCCGTTTGCTCACAGTTTTTCCGTGAAAGTGAGAGGTTCTTCCAATGAATGGAGAAACATGCGAGAGAATTGACTGAAAGAACTTACAACTCTTCAGAAGGGCGAACAAAATTCAGTTTCAGTCGCGTTTTCTCTTTGTGCTGTTGTTGGAAAACCAGTTTCGCGTTCAATCTTCTATAAGCTCAGCTTCCTTTTTTTAAATTCCAAATGTTTAGAGTTTGTTACTAAAATTAAATTGATTGTCAGTCGTTTCTGTTCATTTTCCCTAAATCAAAAGTCTGTCTAGAACACTTCTATGCATATCTATGATTAGGTTCAACTACCAGCATGTGTACCGTTTGGTCATGACCCGTAAGAATGTCGCAATCTCTTCATGGCCATTTGCATCGGCTATATTTTCTGGTAATGGGGATTCCTTCTTGTAGGCCTCAAAGATAATTCCACCGGCTGACGTGGAGAAGATCATTCGAACGAACCCCTCAGCACCGATCCCCGCTGCAGTATAAATCAAACATCGTAAAACATCCACGGCCTGTCGCTGTCGTCCATCACTGGGTAATCCTGGAAGATGGGAAATAAGTATTTTTATTAAATAAAAACCAATGAAATACCAGGTGAACTTTTGCACGAAAACATGATATCTTCACAAGGGAAAATGATATGTTTTCTACACAAGTGAAAAAATCACCGTTAAAGCGGTTACATAATAAATCACGCCTTTTGCAGCGACAATGAAATGGTTAGGTATTCATTGGTGTTTACATAATAAATGAAACATTACATGACCGCTTGGAGATACGAAATTTATCTCCTCACTCAAATGCTTCGCGAAGAGAAATTGCATATCTCTGTCCGGCCATGTACTTAATATCTTCTATATAATCTCTTTTAATTTTAAATAATGTTTGCGATGAGCAGCTTATTAGTTTTGGCTAAAGCTTGCCATGACATACCGAGATATTTTATATTTATCTTACATAAGCTTGCAAAAACGAACGAGACCAATATTCTCCACTAAGGACCGAACAAGTTAGTTTCAAAAGGTATTTATTGCGATGGAGGTTCAGTTTAATCTGCTGATAAATTAATGCGTCTCCGCGATCCACTCTCGGTAAACGCGCGCGAAAGGAAAGCATTTATTTAGAATTCTCACGTCGCTTTTGTGAACATGTAATTGTCCTCCAAATATGTAGGTAGAAAGATTTTTTACAGTAGCAATTTTTTACCATAGCAACAGTATGACCTCCTAAAAACACCCTTAATTACAGCTTTAGGGGCTTACAATTCAAAAACGGCACGGTGAAATTTTTTTATATTATAAACTTTTGATAAACATGACAAGATGCAACTTTTGGCAAGGGTGTTTTTAGGAGGTCATACTGTTGTTATGATAACCTATTGCGTCGAGAAAATAATAACGTGTTCACCAATGATTGCGCAGTTTTTTGATACCATGATTGTAGCATCACGTGGTAAAGATGGGTTATAACGACCCATCAAAATCTAAGTGTTGGAAACTGTTTTGAGCAACCTTTATATACGACTTTGCGCAGAGAAGGAATCACACGAAATACGAATTGACTATAAACATTTTCAAAAAGAGCTTGTGAAACTTAGTAATTGGTGAAATTTTTGGTTCTTTAAGTGAAATACTCGAGGAGAAATTGGCTTTCAAAAACTGCAAGATGTCTGGGTGGCAAAAGCGCTGTTAATGATCCCATTCATTCTTTGTAAAATTTTAGAGTTTTTCAACCCGCGTTATCATTAATACATCGGACTAAAATTCCTGGGGACAGTTAATCGTGCTATGGCCCAATATTTGGAACTTAAGTCTTTGTAGCTCCATCAAAAACTGTATGGTCTATCCTAACGAGGCAGATATTGTAAACAAAGATTCTACTATATGCTGACATGACCAGTGATGACAAGCGAAAATAGGGGTGGTGAATGGTAAATGCGAGACTTTGCGAGAAGCCGAGACTAGCGTTTTTCCTTGCAAGCCCGAGACATTTTGGCTTCTTCAATTGCGAGACCGAGACTTGAAAGTGTTTTAATGCGAGCTCGAGACGTTCGGATTGCAAGACGTTAAGGGCCCATTAACCGATCTTTTCGAGCCGTTGCTAAGGAAAATTTATTCTCATATAACCTCATCATTTTTGTTAGTTCAGAGTTATTTCATGTGTTT